TTTTGTAATTGATAGTAATTTTAAATTATTATTAGGCATGTGCCAGTTAAACGTCACTGTTGGCTTGGTAGCCTGTTGACTAAATGTCTTGACAGTTAAGAGTCCCGTAGCTAAATGCGTCGGCTAAGTGTCCTTGTCGTCTAAATGTCCTGTCGGCTAACTGTTCGTGTCGGCTAAATGTCCTGTCGGTTAACTGTCCGTGTCGGCTAAATGTCTTGTTGGTTAACTGTCCGTGTCGGCTAAATGTCCTGTCGGCTAAGTGTTCTTGTCGGCTAAATGTCTTGTCGGCTGAATGACCTGTCGGCTAAGTCGGCTAATGTCCGTGTCGGCTAAATGTCCTGTCGGCTAACTGGTGTCGGTTAAGTGTCCCGTCGGCTAAGTGTCACGGACCCGTGAATTTTAGCATAGTTAAGTAGACATTTACCTGTATATTCTTTGTTAATTTTGAGGTGAAGACTGCTTAAAGTTTTAAGTTAAATTTTACTGAGTTCTTGTCTGCGTAGAAGTATTACTTCCATCTCGATAAGTCGGGAAAGGAAATTAGTGGCACCTAAGAAGTAAAATCCACAGAATTACTGTAGTGACTACAATAACATAAACCTTCTCAAGATTAGCAGCAGGTGGCATAAATTTTTAATCAGTCTATGACAATAAGCTTAAATTTGACTAAAAGTTAAATTTAAGGTAAATATAAAGTATTACTGAGTTACGCAACACATTCATTTGCTTTAATGTGTCACTTCCAAATATATACATATCCGCATCCATGCAAAATAACGCGTAACAGTATCACTCCCTGCTCCAATGTCCAGATTGCTTTGACCATATACAAGGGAAAGAGGACCATACAAAGAACACTCAGAATGTCCGGCTATTCATACTGATGCGAATGTAAAAGTGTGAGGAAGTAACGGTTTAATGCAGAATCTTTTGCATAGTGATTTGATTGACTCTTTGCTGAAAATGGAAAACATTTTTGGATCAGTTCTAAGATATATCCTAATTCTACAACAGTTATTTTTAAGTTTATACAACTTTCTTGTCTCTTCTAGTCTCCGTCTACAATTCAGTAATTTAATATTACGTGCAAACTAGTTTAGAAATTGTGTTAACTTTGGCCCAATTTCTTTAATTAGTCATTAGTTAAGTTTTTATTTCTTACATTTTTGAGTTTAAGCCCACGCAGAGGCTTTGTTGTAAGAAGAGTCTGAGAAAGGGACTATCTGGTTAATCTTTATTTTGAGCAATAAAGGGTAATTAACCCTTCTTGAGTTTACGTTTCTATTCTTGGACTTAAGTGATTATTCGCTTAGTAGATCCCTAGATTCCTCAACGTTTAGTTAATAGATAAAAGGAAGGATCCCTAAACAGTGTTATCAAATGTCTGCTGCTGAAGTTTCGAGAACCTATCAATCTGCTGTCATCTTCCAGATTCGTATTATTAGTCCAACAATTATCTGACCAAAATTGTAATATTCTAGAGCAATATCCCGTGCTCATCTCAAATCGATATTATCAAAGTTAAAATGGAAGATGAAAAATACCTAAAACTAAGATTTTGTTCTCAGTGAAACAGCAACAAAACTTAACAAAATGGGTTTGTCAACCTATTTTAGAAGGCTTGCGTGCTCGCTTACGTGCTAGTCATCAAGTACACATTTTATATGTAAGAAATCAAACTGTGTTCATTTTTCAGAGAACGAAAGTTAAGGAAATATATTTTAGAAGGCTTGCATGCTCGCTTACGTCTAGTCATCAATCACACATTTTATATGTAAGAAATCAAACTGTGTTTATTTTTCAGAGAACGAAAGTTAAGGAAATATACGATAATTTACTGTCCAGTGTTTTGAGAATCCTCCGGTTCTATTTCTGTTGAAATTGTTGGAGATATTTATTAGTTTATATTTCATTATATTTTTCTTAGAGTTCACAAAGAATTTTAATGCTTTATTTTTGTAAATTGTATAAGGTATTTCTACCGCCTTCCTAGCGTACCTTCGTGGTGTTGTGGTCTGCACGCTGGGCCGGTATTCCAGAGGTCCGTGGTTCGATTCTTGGAGAAGGCGTTTCTAATTTTTCATCCTGCCTGCTTCCAAAAAATACCTAATGTCTCTACAGCTGTTTGAAAAACATCGCAGCTTCACATTTTTGTAACAATTTGCAGGAGAATAATTAATTCTTCAGATAGTGTTATAAAGTATTATCTCCCTCTTTTCCGCATACCTTCCTGTTGTAATTATTAATTGAAAATTACATTTGTTGTTCTGCTTTAGAGTTTAAGTTGTTACGAATTTTGCATAAATCTACATAATTTTAGTGAAACTATATGTAAATTGTAATACCTCTTTTAAAATGTTACATGAAAGGCCTCAAGAATGTGAAACTTTGTCTGAAAAATAGGTTACAGGAAGAGGTTTAGGGGTACGTTACTGTAACTTTGAAATAAACGTCTATTTTGTCCATTGGCGTGTATTTCGTCTATTTTGCCCCCCCCCCGCCCCTCAAAAAAATCACTAAATAACATAATGAAACCAGAGAGATCTAAGTTTGAAAAGGAATATGTAGATATAGAACCAAAGCTTCATACGTGCGAAACCAAATATATCAGGAAATAACAGTATGACCTAATGAAATAATAATAAATATTATTACATGCGTACGAGTTCGTAATGGATTGAATGCACACAGAACGGATGATAGCTTGATAAAATTTGTTTTCATAAAACAAACTCTTGAGAGTTCTCTAACTTTTCATAAAAGTACTCGTACAGGTAGCGCTAAGCTGGTGAGGGGTTTCGAAGACTAATTTTTGTCTCCAAATTTGGCAAGAAATCGCTAAAAGTCGCCAAACTTAGCAATTTTGATAAATCGAAGGAACTGGAAATTTCTCGGAGGAGGGGGAGGAAACTATATAAAGTCGTAGAGAGCATCAGTCTCCATTTAGTACAGATTTATAGCTTAGAGTTACAAGGTATTTCTCCCGTAGTCTTAGCATGCCTTCGTAGTATAGTGTCCAGCACACTGGGTGCGTATTCCACAGGTCCGTGGTTCGATACCCGTCGAGGGCGTTGCTCATTTTTCATCTCTCCTGCTTCCAATTAACCTAATGTCTCTACAGAGTACTGGGAATACTGAGAGTTCACTGTGCGAGCTTATGCATTTGAGGCTCTTTATATTGTCTTGTGTTTAACGTTCTTAGTAGTTTGAAGTGATAACTACTGATTGCGCTGTGTCTTACTGAGAAGAGCTGTGCGAGTACTTTTATGAAAAGTTAGAGAACTCTCAAGTGTTTCTTTTGTGAAAACAAATTTTATCAAGCTATGATCCGTTCTGTGTGCATTCAATCCATTACGAACTCATACGCATGTAATAATATTTATTATTATTTCATTAGGTCATACTGTTATTTCCTGATATATTTGGTTTCGTACGTATGAAGCTTTGGTTCTATATCTACATATTCCTTTTCAAACTTAGATCTCTCTGGTTTATGTTATTTAGCATTTTTTTTTTCATTGATTTTCGCTTGTTTGATACTTTATCGTGACGCTATTAACCAAAATTTGCGATTTATAAATTTGCATTCTGTAATTTGGTTACAGACTAACACTTTCGGAAGAAGAGGTAGTGGAGAAAACAACCTCAAGTGGAAATCCTCGCCGTACAAATCATCGTAAGAGAAAAGAAAGCAAAAGGAGGCGTTGTAAAAAGAAGCAGATCTAAAACCTTGTGGTATAAAATAATCGTAGTAAAGACAATTTACGAAACAATTTTACAATTTCAATACAGGTAATAATATCACGCAGTTATCATTTTCCTTTTTCTAATCATTTTTATACTATCTTTTATACTATACGTTTCATGAAAAATAGTATTAAGATTTTATAAAAGAGATTTATTAAATAACGACCTTTAATATTTTATTACATAAGTCTAAAATTCTTTTAACTGCAATACATATCTTTGATTTCTGCACATTTTCAGATATTTGTCCACTTCACCGTTTGCCCTGAGACAGATTCGTCGACTTGAAAAGTGTCGTCAGTAGCTTTGAACGATTTTAATAATTCAAATAATATCAAAAAGTCAATGACCATCTTAAATATTCAAATAATTTTGTATAATATTTATATGTTTATGTTGTATTAGGATTCAAAGCTAATTACAAGCTACTGATAACATTTTCAAATCGGCGAGTCTCTCTGGGTAAACGGTGAAGTGGTTTTAAGGCATGAAATTTTTCTTGTATTTCAGTAAAAATTTATTAGTTAATTTAAAAATATGAAACGTAGGGGCAAAAATATTCCCCTTCTATTGCGCCCACAAATCATCATACGAACATGCATTTAAAAACTTTCTAAATTTTAAAACATATGTCTGCGATGTTTTTATCGTGCGATGATTTTAAGGTGCTTTATTTTTTACCATAATATTTAATACGATGATGTACTAACACTGCGAAATTTTAAAAACCGCTTTACTTTCTCTCACGATGTTTTATACCATGATATTTTAAAACTGCTACGTTTTCTCCTCGCTTTCTTTCTTCTACAATATTTTCTTCTTGTATTTCTTTTTTTGCGATGTTATCGACAGACACCTGTATTTAAAAGAAATTGTATAAATGAAATTGGTTGCTACTTTTGATGTTTTCAAACCTTAAATTGGTATGGTAGGCTATCATTTTCAAATTTTTTCGAATTAAACGGTAATTTAAAAATCTTAAGTTTATTCGTATTAAAAACAAATTTAAATTTTGTACACTGCAGCAGTACAGACCATATCCAACTTACTGACCAATCTGTGATAATTACAGGATAATAACGCGTATTTTTAATTCTCCACGTAACTGCTCTTTTTTTCCACTGATATGACACTTTTTAGATGTTCATTTTCTATACAGCCATACTAAATGGATACATTAAAGCAACTCAGAGTGAGTGGAACAGGAATGCAGGAGTAAATATAATGTATTACTAAAATGATGGTTTTTTTACCTGAGCTGCCTCCAACGGTTCTTCTGATGTCCTAATGATTTTTAGTCATCCCAAATGCTAGGTTAGCACTCTCCCACCACATGCATAGTTCCGGTACATTAGTTACAGTCACTGGTATGGCCCCAGCTTTCCGGTACAAGGCAGCCGATTTCGAGTCTCTCTCCGCTTTGTGGTCTTTAAAACGAACTTGCCCGGCTGCCTGAGTTAGGCCTACGAAAACAAGTTTAACTTATTGTCTATCTAACGACATTTTCCTTCAATATGAACATAATACAAGGAAATGAAGTAATTCTATGAAACACTTTCTATGCATTTCGTATCTCAAATATCTGGCAAGCCAATTTAAACCTCACGTCTTTCACAACTGCAAATACATTAAATAGTACATTCATCGGTTAATCTTCGGATTAGGGTAACTTGGCGATTTTTTGGCGAAAATTTGGCGACCAACCTGCTATAGCAACCTCCAATTTTTTTTGGGGGGGGACGCCATTTTGTCTTCAATAAGTAAAGGCATGTTTTTTTTCCCCCCTCTCTCTCAACATTTATTTCCCAACAATCTGCTAGTCGAATTACGCTTATGCTAGAACTTTTATGGAACAAAAGTGCTTAATTATGACGAAGATTAGGTGCGAAATTGGGAGAAAGTGCAGAATCGCCCACTGCTTGCCGCGTTTTTAAGAATTACACATACACGGTATCCATGTACACGTTGACCCATTTTGACTTTAAAAAAACATCCCAGAATTGCACAAAAATGGCATTGCGCACACTATTGACTTTATCCATGTACACTGCTAGTAACCTTTATCACAAGTCCTAGCTAGTAACCTTTATCACCTTACCAAAATGTCGCCAAACTACCTGTTACCATATTCCAAAGATTAGCCCATTTATCCAAAAGTTTATAATAATTTAACTATGCTTTAATTTATATATATATATATATATATCTTTTGTGGTATAGTGCATTATTTTTTCGAATTTATCCCATTTTACGCAAAAAGTTAACTATGCGTTTTCGTGCAATTGCCTTTATTCTACTGTTTTTGTCTGTAATTTTTTATTTCATGTATTATGCTACAGAGCTTGCAGTTATGTTTGAATTACTAAGATAGCTCAGTTAGAACCCGAGGTATGGAAGCTTCTGAAAACGCATTTTCGAAACACAAGGAGTAAGGTTTCCCGAAACTCCCACTAATATACTGCTGCGTTTATCCGAGCATTTAAAGCTATGATAGCTGAAACTGTTTATTTCGAAGTCAATTGAGTGTGAGCTTCTTTTATTGATAACGGTTTTAAACTTGTGAGTGATTTTTGTAATCTGTGATATTCTTCTGATATCAAGGAGAATTTGCTATATTTATGCCGTTCTTCTTGAATTATTTATAGCTATCATCTTGCCATACAAACAATGATTAATTTCACACATTTTATCCGAAATTTCCCACATTTATCCGACACAGTCATTTCGCACATTGTTTTATAAAAGACACCGACATTTATTTCAATAAAATATTAACTTCTTCTTGCCCGTCTAGTGTAAATATTAAGCGTATTTCTATGAACTTGTGGTGTGCAAAAATATGTGAATTACAATCTGATAACTAAAAATTATAATACCGGTCAGTTTACAGCTAAATTAACTTTTGGTTTTTACCTGTAATTCACCTAAATAAGAGATATAAGTTTACCTATATTATGTTTTCTTCTTATACACAGAATGTCTAAATCTTAAAAATCAGTTTAAAGCACTGGAGTGCACATATAAGTTGTTTCAGAACTGAAGAAAGAAATCTTTAGGGATATTAAAGCACATTACAATAATAATATTTCATGTAGGACTGTAACAAGCACAAGTGAAGTGTTGAAGCAGTAACAGAAGAAAGGGGACATGAAAGGAAACATAAAATGCTTACTTACAGCATCTTTGATCTTTACTTTCTTACAGCAGTGTTTACAACTATTGTTCAAAATTGTGTCTACCGACATTAATACATACTTGGCACCGTTGGTGGAGTGACTGGGACACAGTTTCAAGGATGTCTGGGGCATTTCTCGCAGACTTGCACAATATTCCAGTTATAAGCATCAATTGAATTCTCGCAAACGAGGGCCTTCAAATGTACGCATAAGAAGTAATCGAGGCTTAATGGAGCGGGCTGGGTGGCCAACGGATTGGTCCATATTGACCACACATAGCACCCTGAAATGGCACCCAGATGACTGGCGCTTTGAAACGGACTGCTGCCTTACCATGCTGAAATCGCAGTTGATTACGATCAACATTGGGAACATTTTAATACAATTCTGGTATATCCTTTCTCAGAAAAATTTAATAGCATCTGACATTGAGTCTTGCTAGTAGAAGACATTGGCTAATCGAGAAGTCGGTCACAATACCAGGACAAATATTCAAAAGGATCGAAACGCATGCAGATATGCAAAGGGTAGATTTGAGGTTACAAGCATGTGACCGTAACAGCGGACACTGAGGACATTTTCAGGTATAAAAACAAACTTCAACTTTTAATTATGTATGAGCTCAGAAATCCGTTTCAATGCACTTTGCACTAAAAACAGCTGGCAAAATCCCACGAATAGAGGATAATCTTCCGTTTTCAAAGTTTCAGCTTTCTGAAAATGAAATGGGTGTAAATGTTCTTCATTTAAAATCCCCTAAAAAGTGGATTTAGTTACACGTACGCGATGCGTAATAGTTCTTTATCGGATTCTATCTTCCATAAGGTTCAAGATGAATTCATCTCTATGTGGACGTTATGCCTTTCTCGGTCGACTCGATTCTTGAAGGAACTAGTTTTAAAAAGTTTGCAGTGTAACCGCTCTAACGTCTTGTAGTGCACTATTCGTCTACTGAGAAAACCGTCCTGATACACATATAGCGTTGATATGCCGTTACCGCTTTATCATTATATAGCGTATTATTTTTATTATAATAATGCGTTGGTATGCCGTTACCGCTTTATCCTTATATAGCGTCGGTATGCCGTTACTGCTTTATGCCGTTACCGCTTGCAAGCTTGAAAAATACATGCATGTCTATATCAGCATTTACTAAGCATCCCATTACAGCAGAGAGTCACAAATAGGATTTTCTTGCAGAGACAGAATGTTGACGGACGACAGGTTACCTATTTCCTTCTACTTAACAGTATAAGTCAATCAATCACTCCGCCGACACTACGAGCTACGTTGACTGTTAAGCATGCACTATTACTGTGGATAGACACAGTTTTTAGCAATTGTTGTAAAGATTGCTGTAAATAAACAGTGGTTAATGATGCTATTTGTAAATAATTTATATTTAATTTTTTGTTTTGTTTCTTTACATCTGAATGCGTTACTTGCATCCATACATTTCTATACAAAAATTGCTGCCGTCCTTAAAAGTACTTCCCCATGAGTCAGCCTGTATTAAATTACGTAAAAAATTATCAACGAAGCATCGCAAGATGAATGTTTTAATGAAGGTTAAAATTGAGGTAAACGTTTGACGTAAAATATGATCGAAACATGCCTTCGAAAGCGAATTTTCTTTAAAATTTAAGCGACAATAAGGTTATTTTTGGGGGTAATTTAAAACTTTGCATTGGCGTGTTTCTCTTCTAATATGATATTAATGTGTGTTAGCTAATCCTTAGGTAAGTGGTCATTTGGGAACATTACTGTCCTTGAAAATACTGACAAATTTTAGAAATTTAGATTATGCCCTATTCATGGACCTCTATTCATTAGAAAACGCGAAATCCTCATTTAAAGTAAATGAAAGCTATTTGCCATTTTTAAGAAAATATGATATCAGTAACTACCAATTAAGCTTCAATGATGAAATGAACAATACTTATCACCTGTTATACCTTGGGGAGGGAACGTACTTGCCTCATTTTTGGGGGGAAACCATAGCACAGGTTTTAGATATTATACGACAACTGAAAACTCTTCTTAGAACACAGAACTGGAAAATTGCTTATTTTATTAACAAATGTTTAAATCTAGCATTATTACAACTCTTTGTGCACTTCTGCAAGCATACTAATAAGAACTCTTACGAACATACTCTTTCTAACATCTCAAGAGTATTTTACTCTTATACTGCAACAAATGACAGAGATTTCGCACCAGTTGAAAACAATCGTTCAAATGGTCGGTGTAAATTAATATACAACATATGGTAATGTACATATTTTAAAAAGGGAAAGATTTATCTTCCTCAACTTTCACACCGACGGACTCTTTGCAAGTGAAAGGTACTCCTAGCAAAGGAGTATCACGTGCGATGTCTTTCTCAGATTTTTCACCACTGGCCAGAAAATGATCTATAGCTATGGCATCATTAATGGCGTCCACGTACCTCTCGTCCACGACAGCGTTGATAATTGGTTGAACTACTTTGATCCGCATAATATATGCTTTCATAACTTCCTCGCAGGCTAACTAGAATGAACCAGCATAAATACTGAAATTACATAAAAGGTGTAATGTACTCCCTGGTTATTTCAGTTTACACATTAAGAATAATGAGGTTTTGGCAAGAAAACATGGTCTGTAACTTTAATAATTATTCTTTGATGATTTCGAATAGTAACTATATTAATGCACATTTTCAGCTTCCCTTCATTGGTGGTGCTGTACATAAACTGCAGACTCAGTTGGAATTACTGTGAGTTAGATGCATTGAAATCCAGTGACTGTGACATTTATCATAAGGAAACTTCTTGGGAATTAAGTTTATTTATAATTTATTTATCATCTTTGTGTACGTGAGAAAATACTGAATGAAAAATTTTATGTTTTTTAAAAACAGCCCCGTTTAACATTTATATGATGAGAAAGAAGAAGTATAGATAAATATTCTTTCTCCTACGTTAATACAGCATTTGACTTAACATGTTGTTTTTATGTACGCGTTACGAAAAATTAAAACTAGAATGCTCCCAAGACCTCCTGTTTTGATTCTGACCAGTAGAAAAAACATTATTATACATTATAACCCGTTGTTTTGCATTATAGAAATAAGTTGAAGACGCGCTCACAGAATGATTATATAGAGTTGGATTAAACCATTTCAACAACATAATATAAATAGCATCGACAGGAATCAGCTGCTAAGGCTTATAACACAAATACACTTTAGACAGGAAGAGAAAGGCATTCTATCAGACAAAAACCTACTACGTTTTTTAAGCTAC